ATTAGTTTAACAGAAAGTGCTTCACCTAACATTTTAAAGTGCATTGCACATACAATTGTAATTTTGTCTATGTGTAACTCAACAGGAAGTAACAGGAAATGTAAAAATATCATGAGAGTGTTGTGGGGATTTTGTTAGTTCTGTAAAAGCTGTTTTAGCATCACTCATCGGTGTTTTTATAGAATAAACAGCAAACCGAGATGAAACTCAAAGTCATATGTCTATTATAAACGTGTAGAACAATACACAGGAGTGTGTATTAATCATGATCATTATAAAGGAAGTATTGTAGGTTCTACCCCGTCTGTGGGTTGTTTCCTGCCCCCCTTATGACTCATACTAACTCTCACAAGTTGTTCTCTTTGTGATTCGACACAAAGTAAGAAGGGGAGGACCCAAACACGACAACTGGGTTTCCCTTCATCTTCCACTGCTTGTTTAGTTTAGTTTCTTTCTTTTCATGTTTTTTTTTCTGTGTGAATAAATATTCCCACCTGTTATTTCCTTGGTTATAAAAGTGGATGCAGTATATGTGAGGCGCGTGTGCACTCGCCACACTCAAATGTAAATAGTAGTTGCAGTCAGGCAGTGTGATATTCATACAGTCAAACCAATGTAAAACATGCATCATCCCAGCAAACGTATGACACATCATCAGCTGACCATACAGAGGTCCATCGTCTTCCATATTCCCTTTCTGCGTCATCTGGTGCTACTACCTAGATATCTTTCAGAGCTTCAAATCAGTCTAAAAGTCATTGTCCCAGCTGTTTTGATATGACGTTTCGTTCCATTGCTGTTACCCTTCACTTGTCTCCTTCGTGTTGCTCTCTTTGAAGCGCTCCCCTCACACGTTGCTGATGCGAACACTGAGAGGAGTGTCTCTCCCCTGGCCTCGTTCCTCCCCTCTCTCCCTGTAGCTCTGCTCCAGACGGATCTTCTCTGGATCGGACACCTCAGGCACAGTCCCACCCCCGTTGCTGCTCTGGTACGCCTGCTGCTGGGGGCTGGATGGTTTGAAGACAGGCGTGGTCTTGGTCTTGGCCACTTTGTCGAAGAAGGCAAAGTCCGCTACGTATTTTCCCGATGGGGAGAGGGAGACCACAGGGGGGAACTCATAGCCCCAGAGAATCTCATCCGGCAGGTAGGAGGTGCGGACCTGGCAGGTGGCGGAGGTCGGCTCGACTGTGGCGCTCATGATGACCAGCAGCTCGAAGTCTGCAGACTCTGGATCTGTCCAGCCCCCGCCTGGTGGAGGTAAATGAGATGGGACACATTACAGAGAGGTGTAATGAGAAGAGGCAGAAAAACAGGAGAGGAAGGAGGAATTTATACAAAATTTAGAGGTACACTGTGAGGTTTTTGACCACCAGTAGTGCTAAAGAGTAATGTTATTATGGGTGGGTTGTTCGTATCTTGAGAGGATGCACATGTGCACGCTCAGGGGATACAAATTCCTGCCAATGGCTCCCCACTATTGCACTGATCAACTGTTTGTGGAAGTAATGCGACAAGAAATATAGCAAAGCTTCATTAAAAAGAAAAGAAGAAGAGGTCTGCGGAAAAAAAAGAACTTAAGCGAAGAAAGAGGAACAAAGGTTGGAAGGTAAAATAAAGCAAGTGGTTCACGCCAGCTGAGCTCACAAACACCTCAAAAGAGGAAGAGGAAGTTTAGGCCTGGTATGCAGTTTACCTTTCTGTCAAATGACTTATCAGTAAAAAGCTCTTTCCACGTAAGATTTTATTTCTAAAAATCTATACGTTTTACGCAGAAATGTTGCAGTAGGTAGCAGAACACAGGTTTACATGAATTACCCCTTATCCTTTTTACCATTTGGATGAAAGGGAATGCCAGCCCCCTTGTTAGCTAAATGACCTAAATTGATGCTCCTTGTTAACCTGCGATTACTGGCATGAACTTAAATAGGCTGAGGTCAGCATAGGCCTGTACCGAAAACACCACCTAGTGCTTGGAGGCATATTACACTTAAAACAAAAATCAAATACATGGTTCTTACAGATGTGTATCATCGCTGTCCGTGGTTCTGAAGTAACAGACGTATTTGTAATTGTCCCCACCTCTCCAACGAATGCTACCGGGAGAGGTTGGAAAGAGATATACAGAACTAAAACGTTACGTTTCTACGTAAAAACCTGTGGAGCATTAGCATATCATCAACTAGCTTTACCACTTCTATGCTACGCTAGCTACTAAAGGTACACTGAATGTATAAACATGCTGCTTTTGCTTTTTAATGACTGTCACTGTGAATAAAGACCTACTCGGCTTTACAGGAGTGGTGTTCCCTAATTTTATAGTCTTCTGTCTCGATCACGAGAGCAAGGTCTCAACTGCCTAAATCCACCTCCACCCCTGTTAAAAGTTAACAAATCGCCCTACTGACCACTAGCCCCGCCCACCAAATCTCTTCTTCTCTCTATCATCTCACCATCTCACCGTCAAGCTTACCCTTGGCTGCCCAGGCTCGCAGGGGGCTGTTGTCATCGATGAGGTGGTAGAAGGTGAGGGGCAGGATGAGGAAGGGGCTGTCGCTGGACATGTCCACTTGGAACGGCACATTCCTCTGGTCCAGACGAACAGTCTCGCCTTCCTTGGTCAGAGACGTCTGGAGCAGTTTTCCGCTGACCTGAACAATGTGCACACAGTTTCACAAATTGCATATACACATCAAATCAACACATATTGTATTGTGACCTGTTCAACTTCTCTACAAACTAGTAGGTGGTGGACTTATCTGATAATCTACACTCTCTATCTCTAGGCCCACTTACCTGACAGCCAAGCAGGAGACTCTTGCGCATGTTGGCCACCCTGACCATCAGGCAGGGTCGTCCCTCGTGGGTCGACACCACAGCATGCTGGCTAAACTTCACCGTCTCACCTCGCTTCTTTGGCCGAGCAACCTGAGCGGAGAAATGAGTTCTGGTTTTAGTCTGGTAAACTTTGATAAGACTTGTGTAAGAGTCTTGCAATCAACATGGGGACAGATGAATGTACTCATGCATTGGCTACCTTGGCGAGGAAGGTACCAGTGATGAAGATCTCCAACAGCATGGTGATGACGAGCTGGACGATGAGGAGGATGATGGCAGCCGGACATTCCTCAGTGATGCAGCGGAAACCATAACCAATGGTTGTCTGGGTCTCCAAGGAGAAGAGGAAAGCCCCCGTCAGGGTCTGCATCTGCATCACACAGGGTGTGTGGTTTGAAGGCGGGTCAAACTCTGGAGGTTGAAAAAGCTCATTGAAGTTATTCTAATGTCTTGTGTTATTGTACAGATAACAGTTTGTGTGTTAAAGAACAACTAAATATTTACAGGGCAGAAAATCTAAGTTGATATCCAGTTGATATGTAACATTACAGGACGTTCTATAATTCTAACTATCACATTCAGTTGAACGTTGGAGACATGAGCGACTAAAGAGGAAGCGGGGGAGAGCATGTGTCTTATTGAAGATATGAATTGACTTTCTGCCACAGCTAACGTTTAATTTTATCTGGCTGAGTTTAAGCTTGAGATGTTGTTCAGGAAATACAATAAACACCAACATCTGCCTGTATTTATACCACTGCTAGAAATAACGCTGACCCCCAATGGTTTCTTTGAAACAGATGTTTTTTACTGTGTCCAGCCACCCTTGTAACACTTCATGCAGATACATCATCACACCACCCTTTCAGTTGTCATATTCTCACTATTGGTTTTTCAACCATGTTCACACTTCTTTCTGTTTTGTTTGGTGTGAAGCATGATGGAGATGTTTATTAAATGCTATTTTAGCATTTCTAACATTCAATATTCATGACTCAAAACCTGCTTTAGCAGGACTGTGTGGGCGTCGTCAGATTTGACTGGCAGTGATCAAACCGTTAACCAACTGTCATCGGAGTATGATTCAAACGCAGCCTGAATCCTGATTGGTTAATGGAAGAACGTCTATTCAACCACACGTTTGCTCTCCCCTATGCAGGTTCAGTTGTATTGCTGAGTTTTTCTGTGTGATATCTGACCCCAGTACAGTGAGAGTGGAAATAATTTTGGTAATGCTGCTCAAAGCATTAAAAAAAATACTTTTGAAAAACTTAACAGTAATTGCAGAAACAATGTGTTGGTGATTTGGGATAATGCTTGCTGCAGGTTTTGATTGGAACTCCTTTACTGAAGATATAGTCCCTATGGAACTTGTTTACAGTGAGGTCAGTGGATCGTCTACAGTAGAGTGACCCCAACATGTTTTTTTCTGGGAAGACACTACCCATCAACCATCAGTATGACCTGTTAACCTATGACCCCCCCAATCTCACCAAGTAGGTCTCCGTGCACCAGGGCCATAAGATACCACAGCACCCCGAACAGGAACCACGTCCCCGCAAACGTGGCCGTGAACAGAAAGAACTTGTAGCGCCACTGCATGTCCAGAAACGTTGTCCAGAGGTCACGCATGTACAGGGCACTCTGCCCACTGATGTGCTCGATGCGCACGTTGCTACGCCCATCTTTGGACAGGACACGCCTCCTCTTCCTCAGACTCCCGCCCCCACCGGAAACGCCGCCACCCAGCAAGGGTTTTAAAACATCGGTCTGTGTCTGTGAGTGGCACACCTTCTGAGGGGAGGAGCTACGAGAGGAAGGAGGTGTGGCCGATGTCATCTGAGGAATAAATAAAGAAAGAGGAGTTTAATCATTTCTCTGATTGACTTGTTAAGGGTCCAGTGCTGTTTATAGGCTCGTTTGAGTTTAGAGTTTGAGTTTGGTTGGAAGGATTGATAAATATTTCTTTAATATCTTATACAGCAGTCACGACATCAGCAGGGCCTCACGATCTGATTTAGATCATGGTGACTTCCCCTGCGGGGAGAGATGGAAACTTTCCACGATCACTGTAGGTTTTGGTAAATTCCCCTGCAGCCACCTGCTCTCGTTCTCATGTTAAATTAATCTCAAGGGAGCCTGATTATACTTGAAACCTGTGATGAAACTAGCAGACATCAAACGGTAACTTTGAATTATAAAGCAAGAGACCAAAGTTTTAATCAGCAAAACAAGTCAAAACTAACTTGAGAGGCCAGGCATACCCACGCAAGTATTTTAGAATTCGTTTGGCAAATAAATAAACTTCAACGCAGAAGTGTGGATTCCCGCCTCATAATTTGGAGCCGAGCCACATGATTGCTGAGTTAGTCTGGGTTTTTTGGCCTACCAAACTTCCACCCAACATGGACTTTGTTGCCCTTTATATTACTTCACATGTCCTGGCTCACGAGGTTATATTCAAATTGATTAAGAACAGTGTATGAGAAAAGCCTGAGGAGGTCTAACCATCCAGAAAAATAAGTAAAAACACCTGTGTGGGAGTATTGTGTGTGTGTGTGTGGTGCTCAATCTTTTGGTTTGGTTATGATTTTGTGTCTGAAGATAAAAGTCTTTAATAGCTGCTCCATGTGCCGGCACTCAAAGGCACAGCCAAAAACACCTCCGTACACCTGGCTAATCCCTGCGAGAGGTGGGGGCACACTTGTTGAAGTGTTGGTCTTGGAAATTTACAAAAATTGTTAGAACATGAGAAAGCTGGGGGCGGGGGGAATTTAAAACGCTTTTTCACAGCTTTAAAGGGTATCGAGGTCCGTAGTTCTCCCTCAGTGGAAAGACCATTAAAAGATGAAGAAGAAGAAGTGACATTAAGTTCTAAAATATAGTCTTGTCATGGGAAGGAAGTTGCACAACAAGAAGTGCGGAGTTTTTTCAATTAATTTCAGCAACACTGGAGGAAGAAGAGGCACTGCCAAATTGGTTTCAACATCTTACACTGAAATTAGTGTGCAACACATATATTTAGCAACTTCTGCTTGTATAACCCACTTTTTCTTTAGAATATACAGCTAATGACGAAACTTGTGTTTGTCTTTCGTTTAGCTACAGTGTAGGACTCAAGTCATTTGATTAAAAGGTGATGAAGTCCAAGTTCAGAGCGAGGGCCTATCTGTGATGTATATCAAAAAAGGGACCCCATAACCTAATAAAACATTTGTGTGTAGGTGACGAACGTTCTCAGAACCAGTTTGTTTTCTTGTAAACTGTGAAACCACCATGAAAACAAAGCCAAACACGCCAAACCCACAACCACGCCAGAGAACAGTCATAATGAAGAAATGAAAATAAATTGACCTGAATGACACTCGTGGCCAATTGTCTATTAAAATATGTCATTAAAGATGTTTAAAACAACTGAAAAGGTTTTTAAGCCACACTAGTAGTCACTGTTGCTCCAGTGAAATATCTTTACAAGCTATCGGATGAATTTCAATTCAATTTTATTTAGACATTTATGGTCCCCAGATGCTGAATCCTAATGACTTCAGTGATTCCCTCACTTTTCCTCTAACCTTCTACCTAAACTGTAATCCCTCTTTCAAACAGTTTTTTTAAATGACACATCGACATGCGACTAGCAGAGCCGGAGCCGGAACCGCCGACCCTCTGATTGAAAGACGGCCCTGCTATCCACTTAGCCACAGTCACCCCACCATGTCAGAATTACTGGCTCAGACATCGTACGCGTCTGTAGATTCTTGTTAGGTCTCGATGACAGGATACAGCACTTGATAAGAAGTGTGAACACCAACAAAAAACAGTTCCTGTTCAGCTGATATCTTTGCGATAATGACATATTTGGACAGACAGTGGAACTAGCATCATAAACAGAAAGCATTTGATTTTTTCGTAGTGCATTTGTGATATCTAAAGCGCTGATTCTGAATGCCAAATCCCATGTATTATTGTCTTAATGTAGGGGAAATTAACTGCAAATATTCCCACGGTAATATATGTGTTTTTAGAGCTTAACGCTGTGGGATGTTTGCATGAATGTGTGCCCTTGTCAGAACGTTCAGATGCAGTCCACCCCTGTCACACACAGACACAGTTACTGTATCGCCACACATCTGACACGCTCACTTACGTCCAACAAACCATGTCGGCCAGTGGGGAGAGGATAACCCACAAGAGAGGACGACAAGGAAGAGGAAAGACAAAAAAGAGGGAAGAGTAGAATTAGAATGAAGATGTACTGCATTAACCCAACAAACCCTCCACACAGAGTCTCATTTGTCAGCTGGAGAAGAGAGGAGAAACTTGAATGAATCAATTAAGGTAAAACATCTTTGTCTGTAAGTCAGATGTTTTCCTAGATAACGTCTTTTTTTCAGGCTTTACTGTTGATGCGAAGCAGAGCGGCCTTTAGTGGACAAAGAGGGAACTTCTGACTGGTAACTGGAGACGCTGGTAAGAGTTTGGTAGGAAAAGGGCCAAGGTTTGGCTTTCTGGATGCCCTGCTCAGGACTTTTCTTTCAGCCTGATACAGGCGTTCTTTTGCGATCTTTCTCTCAGATGTTTTCTTTCTCACACACATTAATGCAAAACATAAAATTCCACCTGATGTAGAACTTGTTAACGGTGCACTGTATGGCCAAAAGTATATAGACGGTGGGCCATGTGATTGCTGAATAGCTTATTTCAGCCTCCTTACGTTGGGTTTCGGGCTTTCCACGAGATTTTGGAGCGGACCGGCAACGCGAACAAAGCACAAGGAAGCACAGATTACAACACACAGAATTCAAATTTAGCACCTTTAAGGCCTGACTCGCAGTCAGCATCCCAAAGGTGTTGGATGGGGTTGAGGTCAGGGCTCTGTGAAGAGCAGTCAAGTTCTTCCACTCCAAACATGGAAATAAATAAAAATAAAAACGTTTGTGGAACCTCACTTTCCGCACATTTCTGCTCTTAACCGTTTGCAGTTAATCCAGAATGCTGCCGCCAGATTACTCACTATAGGCCACATAGACGGTTTCACATCACCCTCATACTCAAATCTCTTCACTGGCTTCCTGTAGCGTATATGATCCACTTTCAAATTCTCACTCTTACTTACACTTACAGAGCACTACACGGTCAGACTCCTGCATATGTGGCTGAACTACTTCATCCTTATTTACCAGCCCTGTAAATTAGCGGCCTTTGTATGGTCACATTGTGTTATTTATGTTTTCTTCTTTGAAATACCGCTCCTGTTAAGCACTTCATTACTTTTGTCTGTGAAAAACGTTATATAAATACATTTTACTTACTTACGGGGGCTAAAAACATTATTCAGACTTTTATTTGCACCAAAAGGACCGAACCCAGAGAAAAACAACAAGGGGTGTCTATATACTTCTGCCCATATAGTGTAAATCAAAATAGCCTCTATGCAGAGTGCTGAGCATGGATTACATAACCAATCAGCTTCAATTACATCACACATTTGTGATTATGCAAGGGTGAGCCCCTCAAAGGCTTCACCCTCTCACCCTCTCTTGTCCTCCTGACACTCAAACACACTCATGTCCCAGAGGAAAAAAACCAACAACACGTACATCAGATAACTAAAAGAGCAAATGGGAATAAAGGAGAGGGAAAGGAGGGAAATATTTCGGACCAACCTCTCCAGTAGGACGTATTCCATCTCCATGGCAGCGTGACAACTTAACTGTACTGCCCTGCCTCAGAAAACTGAATCAAAATGTTTTCTTTTACCAAAGGGGCGCTGAATGTGTTCCCGATCTCCCTTTCTCTCTCTTTTTCTACTTTCCTCTTTCTCTCTCCTTCCTTCTCTCTCTCTCTCTCCACTGTGTACACAGGAATGCTTTGTTAGGAGCTGAGATAAAAGAAACAAAAGACACCATTGACAAAAACGACTGTGCCCATCCGTGTGTGTGTGTGTGTGTGTGTGTGTGTGTGTGTGTGTGTGTGTGTG